TTTTAATAACAACTAAAGGTGACATAGATACTTTATTATGGTATAGTATTTAAATATATGCCTGAGAAACACATAATATAGGCCCTTTAACATCTGAACCTCAAAGTTTGTTGTTAAACTTTTTATAGGAAATTAACCTTACAATAAGCTGTATATTAGTGATTTATTTTGATTCTGTAAATAAATGATCGTTTATTGTTAGATCAAACTTGTCACTGAGTGCGCCCATCTTATTGTGTGCTTTGTCCATTCAGTTTTTGCACGGAAGAGATAGCTACCGAAAAAAAGAAGATCCCATGGTAAATAAGTTCCTCAGAACTTAAGTTCTGAGAGTGTAGTTGAATCCTCATAACAGAGTGATTTCTTACATTTGGTGACATGTACGTCACTACATTATAGTGCCAAGTTACAACAACTGTTGTCTCAGGGCACTGTACACAAAAAATAAATAAATAAATAAATAAATACAATATATCTAAAGAAGCCAATAGAATGTGCCGAATCCTTGTTTCGTCACAGTCTCCCATCCTGAGCAGCACCCCAGCATCAGTGGAGAGGAAAAACTCCCCCTTAACAGGAAGAAACCTCCAGCAGAACCAGGCTCAGGACAGGAGACCATCTGCCTCGACCRACTGGGTTTGGGGACAGGAAAGAGATACAGACAAACACAGGACTCGTCCAGGTGAATTTTCCTCTGGAAGAGAGACAAAGAAACCACGTTATTGATAGAAGTAATTATAACAAACGTAGAGAAGAGAGACTAAAGACAACAGCAGAGTGAGGAAATGTGCTCAGTTTGTCCTCCAGCAGTCTAAGCCTATAGCAGCATAACGATTTAACTATAATAACTGTGGAATAACTCAGGAAACCTAAGCCTATAGGATTTATCAAAAGGAAAGTCTTCAGTCTAATCTTAAAAGTAGACAGTGTCAGCCTCACAGACAGAAACTGGAAGTTGGTTCCACAAGAGAGGAGCTTAATAACTGAAAGCTCTGCCTCTCATTCTACTTTTAGAAACTGGAGGAACCACAAGTAAACCTGCAGTCTGAGAGCGAAGTGCTCTGTTAGGAAAGTATGGAACAATAAGATGTTTAATATATGATGGAGCTTGGTTGTTGAGAGTTTTGTATGTTAGGAGTAATATTTTAAATTCTATTCTDAATTTGACAGGGAGCCAGTGGAGAGAAGCTAAAACTGGAGAAATATGATCTYTTCTTCCAACTCTCATTAAAACTCTAGCAGCAGCATTTTGGATTAACTGAAGACTTCTTAAAGAGTTTTTGGATGTCCAGATAATAAAGAATTACAGTAATCCAGTCTAGATGTGATAATTGCATGAATCAGTTTTTCCACGTCATTTTTGGACAAAATGTTTCTAATTTTAGTGATATTACGCAGGTGAAGAAGGCGGTCCTGGTAACATTTTTAATGTGGGGGTTAAAAGACATATCCTGATCAAAAATAACACCAAGGTTCTTTACATTATAACTGGAGGCCAGATTAATGCCATCCAGAGAAGGTGAAAGGGTGCAAAGTTTATTCCTAAAATGTTCAGGTCCAAAAACCATAACCTCTCTTATTTGAGTTTAGAAGCAGAAAATGAAGAGTCATTCAGGTTTTTATGTCTTTGAGGCAAGATTGTAGTTTAAGTAACTGGTTGGATTCATCAGGTTTCATGGATAAACATAACTGAGTATCATCAGCATAACAATGGAAATTTATCCCATGCTGTTTAATAACTTTACCTAATGGAAGCATATAAAGTAAAGAGGATTGGTCCAAGCACTGAACCCTGAGGAACTCCATGACTAACTCTGGTGTAAGAAGAAGATTCATTATTAAGATTAACAAACTGAAATCTATCAGTTAAATAAAACTCAAACCATTTTAGAGCTGTTCCTGTAATCCCATTATCAAGTTCAAGTCTACGTAATAATATATTGTGATCAATTGTATCAAATGCAGCACTGAGATCTAACAAGACAAGAATGGACACAAGTCCACTGTATGAGGCCATGAGCATATCATTAGTAACTTTCACTAGTGCTGTTTCTGTGCTATGAGCTTTAAACCCTGACTGAAACTCCTCATATAAAATATAGATTATTTCTATCCATATGTTCACATAATTGATTTGCAGTTATTTTCTCAAAAAAAATTTAGATGAATGGGAGATTAGATATACTGTAGGTCTATAGTTGGCCAGAACTCCTGAATCAAGATCAGGTTTCTTAAGTAAAGTTTTAATTACTGCAAGCTTGAAGCTCTGTGGAACATAAACATTCATTAAAAATAAATTAAGTACATCTTGTGATTTAGCTTTTGGGTCCCACTAATAACAAAAAGCTTTTTTTGTTTGTTTCTTTGTTTATTTTTTGTATCTTTTTGCAACCACAGAATGCATGCTCTAATCAAAACTAAAGGCGGTCCAAAGAAACGTTATTGTATGACCTTTTTTTTGGTAGCAAGTTTTCTTACTGAGGAGTTGGCAACAGTGGTCAGCTTGAAATCTCACTCCAAGCTCTACTTCTTATCCCACAAATGCATGTTCCTTACAAATGTGGCTCCATTTAAAAGGAAAATTAACAGGCATTTCAGCGGTATTAGATTTATTGCCTAGAAGCAATGTTACAATAAAGAAATAGTAAACGTTCTTACTTTCTGAGCAAAGTATACATTTTTTTTACTTTTCTGTTGTTTGTGTTACATTACTGTGTTTTTGTTTTTTTCATTCAGTAATATTTTATCTTTGCAATATTTTGATGTAGTGCATAATTTTGTGCATAACATCAATAACAATATATAAACAAAATAGTTATAATTGAATCATATATCAATGGGATTTTGGTGTAAAACAAGGCAGCACATGATATGCAGTTCTTTAAGGACTGCTATGCTTTTAGTTAGATTTGAAATCATGAAGGAAATGCTGAGATTTATATTGAAAAATGAAACTGTTTTTGGTGTGTTTTTAGTTTCCTACAGCATTTGAGTTTAATGAGCACCTTCTGCTGACAATCCTGGATCATCTCTACAGCTGTCGCTTTGGGACATTCCTCTACAACTGCGAGAGTGCACGAGACCAGCATGTAAGAATTCACTGAATGAAAATACAACACTCAGACTCACATTTATGTGTTTGATAATTTTTACACTTTGGAACGTTCTAGTCAATTTATTTAGTCCTACMAGGTGAGGTTCAGCTTTTAGTCACAATACGATTTACAAATAAATTTAGCATTTATTCACAATACAATTTAGCTTTTGGTCGTGACACTTTGTAGCTTTTATTTATGTAACAATTCACAATAAATCCATCAGTATCTCGCTCCATTCTTCCCTCATGAACAAAATTTTATGTTAATTGAACTTCTCCAATTGAGGCAGAACCTCTTCTCCAACTTGGAGAGAACAATCCACCCCTTTTCCGACTGAGGACCATGGACTCAGATTTGGAGCTGCTGTTCCTCATCCCAGGTGCTTCACACTCAACTGTGAATCACTCCAGTGAGAGCTGAAGATTATGGTACGATAACGCCAACAGAACCATATCATCTGCCAATAGCAGAGATGGAATCCTGAGGCCACCCAACCAGACTCTGTCTGCTCCCTGGCTGCACTGAGAAATTCTGTCTATGTAAGTTATGACCAGAATTTGTGACAACATGCAGCCCCACCTCAAAGGGGTCTGACTTACTACCGGTAATGCGAAACAAACTCTTGCACCACTTGTATAGGGGCTCGTAACAACGGACCCACAATCCCACACTCGCAGAGCGCCCCTCCAAAGTGTACCTGAGAAACACAGTTGAATGCCTTCTCCAAGTCCACAAAACACATGTAGACTGGATTAGCAAACTCCAATGACCCCTCAAGGACCTTATTGAGGAGTTGGTCCAGTGTTCCACGGACAGGATGGAACCTGCATTGTTACTCCAGAATCTGAGATTCGACCATCAATAGGACTCTTCTCCAGTACCCTTGAAAATACCTTACTGGGGAGGCTAAGAAGAATAATTTCCTAATAATTGAAGCACACCCCCAGTCCCCCTTTTTGAAGAGGGGAACCACTACCTAGTCTGCCAATCCAGTTGCACTGCCCCTGATGTCTACATGATGTTTCAAAGACATATCAACCAAGATAGCCCTACAACATCCAGAGCCTTGAGGAAATCAGGGATTTCAGATCTCGTCCACCTCAAATCCGTACCACCTCTGAGCTTTTTAACTACCTCAGCCCTAGTTATGGATGGACCAACCTGGAAGTCCTCAGACTCTGCTTCCTCCATAGAAGATTTGCAGGTGGGATTGAGAAGGTCCTAGATGTATTCCTTCCACCTCCTGACATCCCAACAGCACCCCACCTCACTGAGCTCAATTCAAGGATTCAAGGAATTTTTATTGTCATACCAGCTTTGGTTTGTAGTACGAAAATTGGACTCAGGTCCCAGATTAAGAATCCACAAAATAAATACTAATAATAATATAATAAAATAATAACATACAAGTGTAAATAATTTAAGAGTAGAGATGYGCTGAATTAGGTGCTGCTTGAGTTCAGCAGTCTGATAGCTGAAGGGTAGAAGCTGTTCCTCAGCCTAGTGGTTTTGCTCTGGATGCTCCTCAGCCTCCTACCTGATGGGAGCAGCTGGAACAGACTGTGTGCAGGATGGGTGGAGTCCTTCATGATGTGGAGGGCCCTCCTCCTACACCGTGATGTGTGGAGGTCCGACATGGAGGGCAGGCTGCTCCAGTCCTCTGTCCAGCCTTAACCACCCTCTGTAGAGCTGTCCTCTCAGCAGCACTGCAGTTGTCATGCCACATGGTGATGCARGTGCTGAGAACGCTCTCCACAACACAGTGATAGAAGCTCCTCAGGACACAGTTCCCAAGTCCAGCTCTCTGCAGCTTCCTCAGGAAGTAGAGACATTGGTGGGCCTTCCTGACCAGACAGGTGGTGTTGGCTGTCCAGGGGTCGGATTTATAAAACTGGCGTACGCACAATTTGAGCCCAGAAACTTGCGTACGCCACTTTTTACGCC